TCTAGATTCCTTAAAGGATCATCTATTTACCTGGACTGAGCTCCAGTTTCCTCTTGTAAGATGGAAATAACCATAGAATGGTTCTTTAACCAGGTAACTACCTATGCATAGCAAAATGGTGGAATCTAAAATTAGTAGAAATAAAATGGTCCTTGGATTTTTGTTCTATAATAATGAATAAAAATGTGTTGCTCTAGTCAAAGTGGAATGTGGGAGTTTTGGAAGTAAATGCCATCTCCTTGACCTTTCAGAGGTCTTAGCCCATCATTCACATTTTACAGATCTGCATACTGAGACGTAGGGAGCTGGTGACTTGCTCCAAATCACAAAGAATAAACCTGAATTTCCTAAGCTCCAGTATGGTGTTCTTTCCCTGTAAACCATCTTATGTCCTAAAAACATAAGACTGTGTATAAGAGGTTGAAATTATAAGGAACGAAACTCCAAAAGATAAGTGGGAAAAGGACATGGAAGTACAATTGGATTTTTTTTGTTGTTGTTGTTCCAGGGATCAAACTCAGGTCCTTGAGCTTGCGAGGCAGGCATAGAACCACTGAGCTAAATCTCCAGCCCTATAATTTGATTTTTAAAAAAGCATAGGGAAAAGTTTCAGTCATACTACCAATTAAAAATGAACATGACAGGGACCTGTCTGCTCTGCTCTTATGTCAACTTGGTTATTTAGTTCAGGCACTTTTTAATGTTTCTCTCCTGTCCCTCATTCTCCTTGGCTTTATTTTCCTGCTGTGTCTTGTCCTTAGTAGCGCAACCCTGATCCTTTGCCAGCTCCTCCTCTGCATGACCCTGACCAGGATGTGGGGCAGCTCCTGGTCTGGGCAGCACAGAGTAAACCTGTAGTACCAGGTCAGGTGAGCTGTTCCACACATAGGTCTCTATAGCCTCTATAACTTCCAACACACCTTTCCCCCAGTGCAGCCCTTCCTCAGGGTGGGAGAGCAAGGTCCTGCAGCACGCGTGCCAGCCCTGGGCTCCATGAGCTTGTCCTGTCTCATGGAGATAAAGGGCTTCCTTACTGTTCTAAGGAGGAAGAAGGAAACCCGCTCATCTGGGCCAGAGTTAGGTAAGTGTCAGGTGGGAAAATAAAGTACTGATTGGCTAGAAAAAAATGAAAATAAAAAAGGACAAGTTTTAAGCTAGCAAATTTGCAAGGAATTTTCAGTTCAGCCCCTCCCACTTTTTAAAAAAGTACTGAGATTGAATCTGAGCTCAATCCCAGCCTTTTTTATTTTTTATTTTTTTTGTTTTATTTTTGTTTTTCCTTTGGTACCAGGGATCAAACTCAGGACCTTGCACTTGCCAGGCAGGTGCTGAGCCACTAAGCCACATCCCTGGCCCTTAGTTTTTATTTTTTTACTTTTTTGAGACAAAGTCTCACTATGTAGTTCAGGATGGCCTTGAACTCACTGTGGAGCTCAGCATGTCCTCAAGCTTGCAGTGATCCTCCTCCCTCAGCCTCCCTGGTGCTGGGGTGATAGGGATTTACCACAAGACTCAATTATTTATTTATTTGTTTGTTTATTTATTTGGTAAGGGGGAGGGATAGAACTCTGGACCTTGCACTTGTGGTGGAACCACTGAGCTAAATCCCTGGCCCTACTCAATTCTTTTTTTTATTTTAATTTTTAGTAGGTTTTTTTGTTTTCTTTTGTTTCTGTTTCTTGGTACCGGGGATCTAACTCAGGTCCTTGCGCTTGCAAGGCAGACTGCAGAACCACTGAGCTAAATCCCCAGGCCTATTTTAATTTTTAGACAAAATCTCTCATCAAATTAAATTGCCTAGGCTGGGCTGGAACTTGTGATCTTGCTGCCTCAGTCTCCCAGAATGCTAGGATTGTGTAGGCATGTGCTGCCTCTTCTGGCTCATGAGAATTATTAAATGTAATAAGAATAAATTTGAAACGATTAATCAAAGCACCTTTAACCTGGGTAAATACTTATTAAGTTAATGCTGAGATCACAGGTGTGCCATCATAACCAGCTGGAGGTAAAATTTTATACTTAATGAGTCTGGAGAATTTTCAAATATGTTTCTATTCAATGCTCATGAAGGAGAAATAAAGAGATAGCAGTATAATAAGATACACCAAAAACCTCAAAATTAATCTATCAGGAACTAAATTTTTAATATAAAATTAGTAAAATCTGCTAAATCAAAATAAACAATTTGGGCCCGATTACAACTTTATAATGATATATCCTACGACTACAAAATGATATTTGTGGTGAATTTTTGTCTTGTTGGATTTTTGTTGTTGTTTTTTGAGACACAGATGTACTATTGTAGCCCAGGATGGCCTTGAAATTGCAATCCTCCTGCTTCAGCCTCCCCAGTGCTGGTATTACAAGTGTGTGCCATTATCTCCGGCTCTGCACTGAGTTTTTTTGTTTTGTTTGTTTGTTTGTTTGTTGTTGTTGTTGTTTCAGTACCGGGGATTGAATTCTGGTCCTTGAGCTTGCAAGGCAGGCATGGAGCCACTGAGCTAAATCTCTGGCCCTGCAGTGAGTTTTTAATAAACAAGGGAATAACTCATGACATAAAATACTAGGAAGAAAACTTCTCCTAAAATTTTATGCTGGTTAAATTAAAATTATTCATAAAAGACATGGAGAAGAGTCTGAAGTGGCGCTGTGCCTATAGGAGAACTACTACTCAGGAAGCTGAGGCATAGAGGATTGGTTCAGCCCATGTGTTCCACACCAGTCTGGGCAAAAAGGGAGACACCATCTCAAAAGAAAATATGAGAAAAGAAACATATAATGAAATGTTAACATACTGATTGTCTTTAGGTGGCATAGTTTGATTTTAATTTTCCGAATTCTCTAAATGTTTTACAGTTGAGTCCCTTCACCCGCCTCTCATATTTTGTGGTACTAGAGATCGAACCCAGGCCCTCATGCATGCTACACCAAGTACTCTACTGCTGAGTTACATTTCTTTTCTTTTTAAATTTTGAGACAAGATCTGGCTGAGTTATTCAAGTTTACTTTATAATTGGAGTCCTCTTGCCTCAGCCTCCAAAGCAGCTGGAATTATAGGTGTGCACCTCTGTGCCTGACTGACATCCTTTCTTTAAAATAAAAGGGTTTTAGGACTGGGATTTAGCTCAGTGGTGTTACACAAGTCTGCCTTGCAGACGCAAAGTCCTGAGTTTGATTCCTGATACTGAAAAAAAGAGAGAGAGAGAGAGAGAGAGAGAGAGAGAGAGAGGGAGAGAGAGAGAGAGAACGAACTAGAGGGCCTGCACAATAGCTCAGGTGAGAGATGATAAAAGGGACAGTTTTAAGAAAGCAGCATGTTCAAATGCAAAAATAGATTGGATTGTAGGAGCTGAAGGTCATAAGCTCCTATCTTAATAGGTCCAAGAATTATGATTGCCTGAGGGATTTATCTCAAAAATTGCTTCCATGCTGTGATTTTTAAAAACTCACACCCATTTCTCCTAATCCCAGGTTGAGTAATATGTAAACTACAACAGATGGTTTAGTGTGGGTCAACATGAAAAAGGCTGGAAGAAAGCACGTGAGCATAGCCTCTCAAGGGGTCCAGGCACCCCAGCATCTGTATACTGGAGGAACTCTGTGCAGCAGGGACTCTTCCAGTACCCTTGTGAGGAGGCTGAGCTGGATGAACCAGAACACAGGTGTGGGGCTTCTACGAAGAGTCTCATCTGCATTGCAGACCTAGCTGCCTGGTGAGTGGTTCTCTGCACTCTCTTCTTATAGGTCTCTATGACCTCATTACCCACTTGAGCTTGCCTCTTGCAGCCTCTTGCATCATCCTTTAGCTCTCCCTACAGGGTTAGGTTATCACAATTCCCTCAGTCCAGCCCTGTACAAGCAGAAAATTCCTGGTAGAGGTTGGGGCCTTTTCCTAGGAAGTTAGTCCTCTTCAACCTCTGGAGATATAGATATATATATGAATTTTTTTCCTTTTATGTGTGATTTTTTTTGTAACAAGACATACCAAAAAACAGAAGCAGAAAAGTCCTACCGAAGCTAACATCATTTTTGGTTTGAAGTTACTTTATTTATATATTTTCATATAAGTCATATGAGGGCTTTTCCACACCATTGGGAAGCTTTTTATTAAGCCATAGAATTATTACTTTAAAGGAAGTTTAACTTGAGATCAAACATAGTCTTCTAAATGGCCTCCCTTTCTTCTCTTGTTCCCTAAGGCTTTCTCTGATGTGGTTGTGCAGAGGACTGGAGCAGTTTTATTTTCTAAAAGCTTTTAAAAGTTAGCTTGTAAAAATAAATCTGGAAAGGCCAAGCACCTCCACATTGTGTGTGTGTGTGTGTGTGTGTGTGTGTGTGTGTGTGTGTGTGTGTGCGTGTGCTGCAAGATCGTACAAAAAAATCTAAAATCCATAGTTGGATTATCTAAGAACACTTTTCAATTAGAGTTAGGAGCTTCTTTTTTTTTCTTGGTACCGGGGATCAAACTCCAGACCTTGCACTTGCGAGGCAGGCGGTGGCACCACTGAGCTAAATCCGCGGCAGGAGCTTCCTAATGATCACAAATTCATTATTCTATTTAATATTTTTTTGCCACATTACGGTCTATGGCCTGTACCAAATGTGAAGGACATAAAGAAAACTGTAGAATATTCCTCAAAAGGTGCTCACAATCTAGTGAAGAAGATATATAAGGGCTGGGGATTTAGCTCAGTGGTACTGATGCCTGCCTCCCAAGCGCAAGGTCCCGAGTTCAATCCCGTGTACCAAAAACAAACAAAAAGATATATAAAGAGGCCAATAATTACACTACACTGTACTGGGACACAGAGGTGGGACCACGCAATTTCTATGGATTGGCTGGAAGAAGCTGCATAGGTAAAGTGTGTTAGTTAAGGTTCTCTAGAGGAACAGAATTATTAGAAAATGTATGCATAGTTATGTAAGGGGATTTATTAGGTAAGCTTGCAGGATCTCAGGTGGAAGAGTCCTCAGTAGCCATCTGCATGCTGAGGAGCTGCATGCTGGATCCAGGAGCTGCTCAGCCCAAGAAGATGGAAACCACAGAACAGGAGGGAGCAAGGATGCAGCACCAGTCCAAGGTTAGAGCCTGGAAACTCACTGGAGAGTCACGAGTGTGAGTCTGTGCCAGAAGGCTGAAGAAACTGGAGGTCAGTGTCCAAAGGCAATGGCAACAAAGGATGCATCCACTCAAGAAGACTGGACTCTTCGAAAATGGGTGCTTTTTTTTCCCCCTTTTTTATTCCATCCAGGCTATAAGCTTATTGGTTGACGCCATCTACAACCCGGGTGGGTCTCCCCACCCTCAGTTTATCAGCCTACAGGCCAATCATCCACAGACACACCAAGAACTGTGCTTTACTAATCTGCTCAGCATTTCTTACTCTAGTCAAGCTGGCATATCATGATTGACAGTCACAAAAGTAACGTCTGACTTGTGTCTAGAAAGAGGAGTAGGAATTTTCCAGGTGAATGAGTAAGACATATCACCTCAGCAAAAAAAATTATAGGTGTAAAAGCAGAGCGATGTGATACAGTATGTTATGTTTGGAGAATTACAGGATTTTATTCTAGCTGACAAATAATACTTGTCTTGGGAAATGAGCCTAGAAAGATAGATAGGAGCTACAAAGTAAAAGATTTTGTATTCATATTTAGGAGTTTGGACTTGACCCTATAAGCCACAATAGGCAGCCAATATAGTTACATTTAAATTAATGAAAATTAAATTAAATTAAACACAGCCCTTAAATCACACTAGTCATATTTCAAATGCTCAGCAGCCACATGTGGTTGGACAAACCAGATATAGGACATTTATATATCTGCAGAAAATTATTTTAAAATTATTAATTTATTTATTTAATACTGGGGATTGAACCCAGGGCCTTTGCACTGAACTACAGCTCCATTCCCTTTTATTTTGAAACAAGGTCTCATTACATTGTTCATTTGCGATTCTCCTGATCTCAGCCTCTCAGAGTGCAGGGATTACAGGTGTGTGTCCAATCATTTTAAAAGTGAAATGACCGTAAATGACTATTTGGTTCTTCCTTCCTTAGCTCTACTATCATAGCTACCTTTCTTTCAATATTCCCTCATCCAGGCTAAAACCATCCAGAATTTAGGCCTCAAGGACTGACTTTGGGTACTGGGGATCGAACTCAGGACCTGGCACTTTTGAGGCAGGTGTAGTGCCACTGAGCTAAATCCCCAGCCCTCTAGCAGTACATTATAGGTTGAAGTAAATGTTCCAGTCATTTCCTTCTATCTTTCTCCAATAGGTCAGGAGGGCTTGAAGAGCCTCAAATTATTGTGCACTTTAGACCGATGGCCGAAGGAATTTCCTGACAATAAAGAGAAGGCAGCATCAGGTAACACCTCTGGGACAATGTGAAACTGGATTATCTCCTATCTAGCTGAAGACTGATATTCAGTACCCATCTCATATTATCACTCAGAACATCCTTTACTGCTTTCATCTAATTGGTCACCAAAGCCTTCCCTTTTACCTCAACTTCTCTCATCTTGATTCTTCTCCATCTCCACCAGTACCTTAATTTAGATCCTCCTTCAATTACCACTATAAATCTTCCAGCTGGATTCCCTGGGTCTACTCACTTCTCCACTGGTCTGACTGATCAAAGTCTCCCCAATCCTTTGGCCTGACATTTAACAGTTCGACTCTCCTGCCTCTATAATTTCTCTTCTTACCAGTTTTTTTCTCTATATCTACATTTTAGCCAAACTTGAAGTCCCTACAACATTTACCACTCTCTTACCACACAATGGGTAAACATAGAAGTAAGACTGGATCTGAGTCCATGTCTTATGTAAATTCTGTCATTCCTATGTTTGTACCATGCCATCTATGAAGATGCAGACAAGAAATGTCTTAGTAGAAGTGAAGGAAGGGGGAAAAGGGAGGGGGAAAGGGAAAATGAAATGAATTAAGATGTTATGTAAATGTACCAACTCCCTGCGATGAATGTGATCATTATGTATTGCAAATATGTACTAATTAAAATTTAAAAACAGCTGGGCTTGGTGATGCAAGCCTGTAATTTTAGCATTTGGGAGGCTGAAGCAAGAGGATTGCTGTGAGATGGAAGTCAGCCTAAGGCTATACAGTGAGCCCAAGCCCAACCTGAACTATAGAGTGAGGCTGAGACCTTGTCTAAAATAAAAGTCATACTAGAGATCAGCTGTAGGTAGGAGAAAGAGAAGAAAGAGATGAAAATATTCAATCAGTTCACCAGATGAGTATTACCATGAGCCAGGTCCTGGACTGAATGCCAGAGATGAAAGATGAATGAGGTACATCCTATCCTTGGGAGCTCACAGTCTACAGAAGGTTGAAGTACAAAAGCAAGAGGCTTAGACTGGAAAGTGGCCTATGTTGAGCTGTCTTGGTTTTTCCAAAAATCCCGGTTTTTAGAGTCTGGACACAAAATAAGTCAGTGGCTAGAATGATGGATGTTATGGCTTGTATGTAGATGTCCCCCCAAAGCCTCATGTGGTCATAGGTGGGGCTTTTCAGAGGTGACTGGATCTAGAGTGTGTGACCCTGGGATTGATTCATAGTGCAAAACTAGGACTAAAGGTGTGAGTGCTATCCACCCTACGGCAAATAGCCTGGATGAGATATAAGGGACAGAAAGAGGTTTGCTGCTGGTCCCCTACTTGCTTGCTTCACTACCTCTGCCTGCCTTAAACTGTTTCTCCTCTGCAATACCTGAACGTTGTGCCACCCTGCCTTGGAGCCAGCTTATTATGGACTGAAACCTCTATATCTATGAGCTAAATCAACCTTTCCTCCTCCCTTAACTTTGAGTGTCAGGTATTTTGTCTCAGTAATGAGAAAAGTAACTAAGACAATGGCTATGCAAGAATTTCTGGTTTTATCTATATGAAAATGTCCTTCTGGGAAACTCAGTAAGCTTATGAGTCTCCATAACATATGACATCAGCAGCACAGGTGGGCAACAATAATATGCATTCCAATTCATCAACATTGCTGTCCTTACAATCGCATATGCTGATTTTACCTCCCTTTTGGGAGCTGGTTTGGAGGTTCTAGAAAGGGAGTGCAGCTACTCTTACACTCTTGACTGAGGAAACAGTCCTCCTCTCTCAGGAATGGTCGCCTATTTTGACTACTGTGTAGCTTTGGAGGGACACGCATGGAACGATGAGGGAGGAAGGGGACACCTGCCTAGCCAGCCAGATCAGCCAAATCAACTCTGGCGATTGATGAGGTGACAAGTGTTGTAGCCAGACTGCCCTTTTGGGATCTAGATTCCTGATCTTCTAAAATATTCAGTTGTCCTTTCATCTGTATTCACAGAACTTACTGTCCCTTCATTTTTCTTTGTTCCTTTCCCTTCCCTACTCCCAGTGTGTATGAACAATACAAAGATGGAACTGTATCATATTAGATTGTATTTGACCTGCCCCTTTTCAAACTTAGTCATGGCCCCATGGAACAGGAGCGCAGGCACTGAAATGAGACAGCTCATAATGATATGTATACTAGGTGCCTTTTTTCTGCCTTTGTTAATTGTTTGTGAAATGGGTGTAATGATCCTCAGCGTCACAGGGCTATTGAGGGTATTAAATGAACTCATACATTTAAAAAGATCTCACTTGGCATACACTTTGATAGATATTTATTTTTAATCCTATTTAAAAATTCACTTCTCAGGCTGGGAATGTAGCTCAGCAGCACAAAGCCTGCCTGGCAAGCACGAGGCCAAGTTCAATTCCTGGTACAAAAAAAGAGTCACTTCTAAAATCCCAGTAGCTTTTATTGAGCAATAACCAGTACTGCAGGTTATTTTTCAAGCAGAATTGCCATCTTATTACCACAGGGCTTTGCACACAAATCTAATATCTCACCTAATAAACTATACATTAATTATTTATTTCTATTCTCCTATTACTATCTCTCACAATACAAGGCAGTTTTTGTTTTATTTTGTTTTTTGAGACAGGGTCTCACTATGTAGTTGAGACTGACCTGGAACTTACTATGTACCCCAGGCTGGTCTTGAACTCACACTGCCTCAGCCTCCCGATTACGGGGATTACAGGCCTGTGCCACCACAGCCAGCCAAGGTAGTTATTTTCAGTTATTATGAGACAATTTAATGTCACAAAAGGTTCACATAGAGCTGGGGATTTAGCTCAGTGGCACTGTGCCTACCTCACAAGCACAAGGTCCTGAGTTTGATCCCTGCTACTCAAAAAATAAATAATGGTTTACATAGGGTTAATCAGCTCTGAAATCGATGTTAGAAGTCAAGAGTCCCAAGTCCTTTGCTAGATGCTGGGATAATCAGAATCTGAGTCCTTGAAGAATTTAATCAAATATAGGGAAGCCATAGTAACAAATACTTCATTGTTTCATAAGTGAGATGCCAAATTTGTGTGCAAAGCACAGTGATAGCACAAAAATGGCAATTAACTTTGCCATTAATTTTTTTTAACCCAGGGCCTTTTCACCGAGACACACCCTTATCCCTTTTTATTTATTTTGAGACAGGGTGTCCCTAAGTTTCCCGGTTTGGGCTCGAATTTATAATACTTCTCCTGACTCCCAGTAAAGGTGACACCTGAGATAAGAGTAGAGTCTGGGGCTCTTTTAGGATGTGGAGTCTCAAAAGCTGCCGGAACCAAGGTGCTGCAGGACTTGAATGAATCTCGGCCGCATATTGTTACAGGACCTGGATCAAGGCCTTTCCGTCGGCGTTTTCCGAAGTCCAGGGGTCGCGGCGGCTGGACCGGATCTTCGGTTTTCAAAGAGACTGCAGCAACAAAAAATGAGCGGCACCCTGGGAAAGGTAACATAGATTTCAGACACGTTGGGGCGCTGGGGAAAACAGGAGGGAGGCGACTGCGCACAGACAACAAGGAATGAAACACCGGCAAGAACAGACCCTTCCCAGGAGTCCTTGCGGCGCTTCCTCCGAGCCCGCGAGCTCCGGAGTCCTGACCCGAGCCACGCCTCCTGTGCTTGTCTCTCTCGCCACCCTTTGCCTGGCGAGGGAAGAGCCTTACGCTAAAATACTGTCTTCCCAAATTGTCCTAGTTTAGGCAGGTCATTTTACTTTTTGTGTTTAATCATTCAGAGTTTTTTTCCGCTGAAGAAATTTTAACTTTCTAATCTGGTTGAGATGTGAAGCTCCCTGGTGACAAAGGAGGATAATGATGAAGTACACTTTCACTTTACTCTCAGAACCGTCTGAATTACAGTTCTTAAATGCATTCCTTGGCTGGAAGGCCCCGTTTCCTTGACAGATTTCAATGGAATCTTTCACTTTTATTCTGCTGCTTACTGACTTTTACCATTTTTTTGGTACCGGGGATCGAACTCGGATCCTTGCCCTTGCGAGGCAGGCAGCAGAATCATTGAGCTAAATTCCAGGCCCAGCAATTTTTATTTACTTACTTAATTAATTAATTTATTTATTTGGTACCAGGGATCAAACTCAAGACCTTGTGCTTGTGACGCAGGCGGCAGAACCACTGAACTACATTCCTGGCCTCAACTTTTAGCAATTTAAAAAAAAATTAAGCCGGGCGTGGTGGCTCACGCTTGTAATCCCACCGCTCAGGGGGATGGAGGCAGGGGGATCACTGTGAGTTTGAGACCAGCCTGGGCTAATTAGCGAGTTCCAGGTCAGTCTCTACATAATGAGACCCTGTCTCAAACAAACAAACAAAAATTAATTGTGATACTGAAAATTGAACCCACGGCCTTTACACTAAGCTATATTCCCAGCTTTTTAATTTATTTAAATTTTTAAACAGGGCCTCACTAAATTTCTAAATTGCCAAGCTCTCCTCACCTCGAACTTGCCACCTTCCTGCCTCTAGCCTTCCAGAGCACCGCCATGCCTGAGCAGCAATGTACTGAATTTTAAAATTTTATTTTAGCTATTAAACGTAGAGACTATATAGCCATAATGCGTAAGTAGTCATGGTCTTCGCTGTTCCTGTATCTACCTGTTCTTACCTTAGGGTTGCCCCAAGTATTTCTAGATTTGAGTTTCTCTAAGGGCTCACGCCTCACCTCATCCTTTATGAAACAGCCCACTTGTTCAACTTAGCCAGTTTGTGAGAATTTGGCCAGATCTGGTATCAGCAACAGAGAAAACAAATTGAACGTTTATAAAATTCTTTCAGTAAAGATGGTCACATTGATGGCTACTGTCTTGCTCTATGAACCTTATTTCTGAGGAAATAGAGGGATCATTTTTCAAGGAATACTTTTCAACCCACTCTGTACTTTATAAGGGCCCATGGAAATCTGGCATAAAAGCCATCATCTTAATACAAGGACCTCTCCAAGTCTGATTATTTCCTTGCAGACTCCTTTGTTACTTATTCCTCCATTCTGCCCTCCTGCTTTGGTCAGGTAGTGTCTTTCTTCTTTTTGTTTTGTTTTGCTTTTTGTTTGTTTGTTTGCTTTGGTTTTTTGAAACAATGTCTCACTGTGCAAATCAGGCTGGCCTTGAACTCAGTTTGTCGCCCAGGCTGGCCTGGAACTCATGGTAATCCTCCTGCTTCAGCCTCATGAATGCTGAAATCACAGATGTGTGCTACCATGCCTGGTTCTCCCTTATTTTTCAAATGTGAAATTCCTTTTTTTTTTCTTGTTTTTTGAGACAGGGTCTCACTATGTAGTTGAGACTAACCTGGAACTCACGATGTAGCCCAGGCTGGTCTCTTACTCACAGCAATCCTCCCACTTCAGCCTCCCAAGTGCTGGGATTACAGGTGTGTGCCACCACACCTGGCTTTGAATTCCTTTTTTTTTTTTTTAAGCAAATCGGTTATTGGTACATTTTAGATATACATAATGATAACACTCATCATAGGGAATTTGCACTTGTACATGATATATCCTGCCTCTTATTTTTTTACCCTTTCACTCCTCTCTTTGACCCTCTTCTCCTCCTTATATGCAAAAGCTTTGTTTCCATTTTTTCCTTCTATTTTTATTTTTTTCTTGTCCCTTCCTTCCTTTCTCCCTCTCTCCCTTGTTCCCCTTCCCATTTTAACATTTTTTTTCCCATTTCCTTATATCTAATACATTTTAGTCATTATTTCCTCTTTTGGTTTCTCACACCAGAGAAACAATGCGATATTTAAACGTGTGTCCGATTTATTTCACTTAAGAGTATGGTCTCAAGTCTCCATTTAGCTAGAAACGTCTCAAACTCGTCCTTCTTTATGGCAGAGTAGTGCTACACTGTATTTTTAAAAAAGCCCACAACTTTTTATCTATTCGTTGGTTGATGGACGTTTGGGCTGTTTCCAAGTTTTAGCTGTTACAAACTGTGCCCTTTAACCATGGGTGTGCATATATTGCTGTGGTAAGATGCTTTTAATTCTTTTTTTTTTTTTTGGACCGGCGATTGAACTCGGGACTTTGTACCTGTGAGGCCGGTGGTGGTGGAACCACTGAGCTAAATCCCTGGTGATGCTTTTAATTCTTTTGGGGAGATACCAAGAAGGAGAATAGCTGGGTCAAATCTAGTGATTATAAAACATGTGTTTCTGCCACATGGACCCATGTAAAGACAGACTTTGATAGTCAACATAAACATGTTCAGAAGAGTACAGCCAAAGGAAAAACTAGAAACGAAAGCAAGTTTTTGAAAGAATTTAGGAAAAGAATACCTGGAGGTAATTATTATTGCCTTCAAATACTTGAGGGGCTACTGTAAAAAAACAAGAACTGAATTTATTCTTTTATACTAGAGTGAGGAAATGTGGTAGTTTCAAAATATGAAGTTATAGGGAGATTGCTTTGGGTTTTTCTAGGTATGGGAACTTTCAGGTGTCTATAAAAGTTTCCAGTCTGGAACAGAGAAGTATTTAAATTGCATGTGACTCATTATGGACAAAGGGGCTAGTGTTTACCCAGTGTGTGAGAAAGGTAATGGAAGGCACTGACTAAAGCCAGTGAGAACTTGAAGCTCCTGGATTTGGGGGTGGTAATCAGGGATCGAACTCAGGTCCTTGTGCTTATGAGGCAGGCAGCGGAACCACTGAGCTAAATCCCCAGCCCCTGGATTTTTTTTGTTTGTTTTGTTTTGGTTTGGTTTTTTGAGACAGTGTCTCATTTAATCCAGGTTAGACATGAATTCGTTATATATCCCAGTCTATCCTAGAATTTGTGATTCTTGCAGTCTTTCAAGTGATGGGATTATAGGCATTTGCCACCATTGTTTTGGTTTTATGCATTACAGTTTTTGTTTTCTTTTTGGATACTGGGGATTGAACTCAGGCCCTTGGGTTTTTGAGGCAGACAGCAGAACCACTTAGCCAAACCCCTGGCCCTGCATTACAGTTTTTTGAGTTTTTTTTAGACAGGATCTTGCTGTGTTGCCCGGACTGGCCTCAAACTTCTAGGCTCTAAGCAATCCACCTACCTCAGCCTCCCAAGTAGCTTGACTGCAAGTATGTGTCACTGCACTTGGTTCAACTTGAAACTTCTGATGAGGGTCAACCCACTTTTGGATCCCCTTCTGTCTCTCTTAGACAGAAGCTTTCTTTCCCTCAATAAATTTTTCCTACTCTTAACCTCCTTTGTTCCTAGAATTCATTCTTTGATTTTAGAGAACATGAACTCATGTTTCAGATATCTAGCAAGTTTGGGAGTTACATCTCTTCACCCTATATCATTTTGGAGGTCTTCCACCAAGATTACTTGTCAAAGTTTGGAGACCAAAACTAGAAAGGTAACTTGGCCTATGAGGACAGCCAGTATTTGGCCTTGGCCGCTCAAGGTTTACAAGATCCAGGACGCAAAGTGTAAGGGAATTGTGACGCTCAACAACTAGGCCACACACACACCAAGAGGTCCGACTGGAGATTTTATTCAAGGGGTGGGAGTAGAGAGAGCAGAGAGAGAGGAGGAAGAAGAAGGAACAAACAAGGGAAGGTCCTTTTATTGGTTTTGGGCTGGTCTATTGCTTATTCATGAGGAGTGGGCTACTTTTAACCTATCACAGACCAGGTTGTCTTTTATGGTTCAGCCCTGCAGAAGCAGGTTTTAACTTCTCTAGACCGCTGTGGCCTTGGGGAGAGGGAAACTAAAAATAAGAGCATGAGATCATTTTAAGAGCCAAGAAGCACCAGGAAAATGCAGCCTGTGATGGTGGTGTCACAAAATACTTTAACATGATCAATTCCTTAACACAAAGGAAACTTTCCTACAGGATCCTACATCTTTGAAGCTGCATCTTTGGTCATACAAATAGAATCAATGACAAATGTGCTAGACTTTTATTGGGATCCACCTGATTGACTTTGTAAACAGCTCATCACTGCTAAACTATACTACTTCTATGTAGGATTCTGAAGTTCCCTGGACCTTCTTATCCTCTTTGTGGGCTATATTCATAGCAATCCTGTTGACTTTATAATTTAGCCCATGCATTCTTAACTGCTTCTTTGGCTTTTTCTGCTCTAGATTAAAAGCTATGCAGCTACTAAGATGACAATTTCTGGCACCTATGGAAGGCCTTTAGACAGACCCTCTGTAGAGTAACTCTAACTGCTGATCACAACTACGACCCTCTTCAGCTGGAAGTAGCCAGAGCGGTCCTCACCCTTTGTCCCCTCACAGCAGTTAGGAGTACTTCTTCAGAGGAGAAAATATTGCAGACAAATAAGTTAATTAGATATCTTGTAGGCAGTTAGACAGGGCCACCCTCAAGGAGCCAACATGGAGGACAATAAAGACACTTTCACTGTGGTCAAAATTGTAAAAGGAGAGAAACTACTATACTCTTGTGCTTCCCCTAGGTATAAATAGCAGTAATTGATA